AACCGATTTTGATGAAATTTGGCATAGAGATAGTTTGAGTCCCGGGAAAGAACATAGGATAGTTTTTATCCCGGTTTTTGAAACAGGGACGCGCGCGATAAAGTTTTTCTGTGACAGACAAAATTCCACGCGGGCGAAGCCGCGGGCGGAAAGCTAGTGCATTATAATTCCTCCCACAAGTTTAAATTAAAGCAAATCTATTACACATCAAATGAATCTCCCAGTGTGTACATCACACGTAATCCGCCGCTGAATTAGTGACGCGCTGCGTGCGCAGTGGCAGTATATCGATGAATGCTAATACGGGCCCGCGGCGGTCACGTGATCCGCGCGTAAATCGATACGCTTATCGCGCGCCTGCCCAGAGGGTGGTCGCAGCACTATGCAGCGGGTTGCAGCAGCTATAGTTGTGCAATTGTTTGGTAGTCATAGTAAAATATGACAGTAGACCGTGCTGGCCATTTATCTAATAAACCCATATCTAAATACATATAACTCAAAGGTGACTGACTGACTAACTGACATAGTGATCTATCAACGCACAGACCAAACCACTGGACGGATCGGGCTGAAATTTGGCATGCAGGTAGATGTAGTGACGTAGGCATCCGCTAAGATAGGATTTTAGAAACACCACCCCTAAGGGGGTAAAACGGAATCCGGAAGTCGCGGGCGGCCGCTAGTAAACCCATAAAACTGCAAAAAACCTTGGAAAAGAGTTTAAATATTTAGCAAAACTGTCCAAATTTTCTTACAAATAGTTTATGATTCCTGTTTATTTGAGACGTAATAGCAGCTCCAAAATTTTTGCATTTCAAATTGTGCCCGTGCCTGCTTAAGTAGTTGCAAGAACTTGTTTTACTGTTCTCCTACACTGTGGCATGGTGGTGAATTGGTGCCATATCACAGGTGCTTGCTGCTGGACCACAATACCCGATTGTCTGATACGAAAGATGGACATGTTAGTACTGCCTCTGGTAGGTCTCGGTACGGCCGTCGGCATTATGTGTCACGTTTGATGTTATACGCCTATCGCAGCTCATATGATATGTTAATGATATTATTTAAAATTTGATTGTAACGCCCGTATTCACAAACATTACTATGAGGTCTCACAGTGCTCGTGGATGCACAGGGTGACACACACATAGGAGAGGCAAACTACATACATCAGTGCATGATTATGTGCCACACTTTAAATACATTTACATTAATTACAAGATAATACTTAATTTTTATTAGACTCAATTAATATTATTAACTAATCCGAATTCAATACCAATTTGCGTAACATATTCATGAGGGAACGCGAGCATCATTAGCAAAAAACAAACTGCATTTAGTCCATTGTTACTGGTTTTAAAATTATAAAGCCAAACAGGCGATTGTGTGAAAACACACAATCGATGCAAACACACCCCATAGACACTAAGAGAAATTTACAAATAGATTCACCATAACTGGGCTTATCAGAGCCCACGTATGGTAGGGGTTAACAGCCACTATAACTTGGTCTGCCAATCCCTTGTCATCCCGAATAAAGTCCATCAAATTGTTACAACACAACTAAATTCTGAACGTCTTACTTATTTGGTCACGAAATAATTATTTCCAAAATAAAGTGACCCGCTCTTTTAGTAAGTTTAGTAAGAAATTTATATAGAGATAAACTATTTTAGAGGTCTGTGTTGGGTGGTGGTATAACACACCCCGTTGTATGATTGTTTCATTGAAACACAATACAATAAACACAATCGTTTTGGGAGCGCCTGCGCAGGATTTTGATGTTTGATTTCGTACAGAGTAGTGAGTGGTATAGAGATTTATTTGCGTAAAGTAAAACTTTAGTAACGGAAAATGAATCAAAATTCAAAGTACTTCGTAACTCTTCTAAGGTCTTCCTTTTCTCGATTATTTATATTTTTGTAATGGTGTGAGTTTTGAAATGAAAGTAGGTACATTTTTTGATATAACTTGACCAATTTTGTCTTAGAAAAAAGTTATTACTCCTTTTATGTCTAACTTAAAATGATGATATGATTAAAGTAAGGCAATCGATTTCTAAACATTTATACAGTTTGACTTTATTTTTTCTATTACAAACATCACAACTACATACATCGTAACTACAGTGTAACTTGATGTTCCGTTGTCCAAACCCCATTTAACCCCTGTTCCGTCATCGTAACTTTTCGTTTAATTTTCATAATAATCGCGGGTATCGATGTCTCTGCATAAGTATCGATGTAGTGACAAAACGCAGTCAAACTAGGCTGCTTATGCGCTCCGTCCTTCGAGTTGGATTTTTATTGACAACTTGAGGGCAGTCACGCTTTGGAGGCCGCACCGGTCACATCGCCATCTTCTATTCGTATCTAACGGGCCCGTCGACGCGTGTGCTAGTCACCCTCCCATGTGATCTCAACTTACCTCATCATCTACACGCCAAAATGTGCTAGAAACCGAAGGAATTCCCAACTGCTGCTGCCCATACTCGAGGTGGAACTGTCAACGATCTGCTCAAGGTACGTGAGTGCATAGTATTTTGTCATTGCGTACTGCTCGTACAGAACATCGATCCCTTTTTACCGGCAAGCCTTCTACGGTTTGATCCAGGTGTAGCAGGAAGCCACCAATCGCCTTTTAATCGTGGTGCGTTTGCTACATCCTTTTTGGTGCCGAAACCCGGGACAGTTTCCACCTAGCACCTGTAAATTGTACTGTATCGCGTTCCAAATATCGTGGTATTTCTGGTTAAAATACTCGGCAATTAGTAAAATCTATTCATTTCATTTATCGGTTATTGGTTGCAGAGTTAATCTATTTAATCAGTATTTACTTAATCCAACATCGTGCGGTATCAGTGCTTGCGGGTCACATCAGTAATATCGTATTTATCCGAATTCCTATCGTTAAACATCGTTAAGTATTGTCTTGAATTATTGTAGGATCAAATTAAGCAATCTTTCATCATTAATCGGTGCTTAATTTATTCATCGGCTTACATTAATTCTATTTATAGACACTACATTCATCCACATTCATCTAGTACATTTGTTGTAATCGTTTTATTTATCGTACAATATCTAAAACATATTGTAATATCGTTTAAATATCGAAACTACATTCCTACATTTTTATTTTTACTTTCGGGTAGTTGCATTGTTCCGCGCCCACCGGTGATCTCTCGTACTTATCGCACCGATCCAGCGCCAAGCAACTACGAACAACATTTTAAAAGTAAAATATTTTATCGTAGTTCAGTTCAAATTAACGTAAACAATTTTTATATTTCGTATTTTGAATACGCTAACTTGTAATAATTACAGTCGTCATTTTGTATCTTGTAATCGTACCTATAACGTTTAGCGTAACGTATCATTTAAATATCGGCCACTTGTTATCATTATTGTGCGTAACCTGTGTGCGTGTGTGCATAATCAATTCAATTCGCAGCTGCATTCCGCATCGGCCGCCGCACGTTTTTTGTCTAGTCAGCGTTAGGGTGGTAACACACTGAGTAAAATTAATATTTTTTATTAATTTCATATTTCGTTTTACACTTTTACATTTAGTATTTATAAACTAAAATGTCACTTTTAAGCAAACGTTCGACGCGAAAAACGTTAAGAAAATCTAAATCTAAATCAATCGAACATGAATATTCTATGCAAGATTTACCGTCTTTGCGTCGAAAGCGAACAATTTCTATTAAACGATTGAACAAAGCTTTGGAAATTGGTCAATTAGCGACAAGTGACCCTTCTCAGCNGACTGATTTTTCGCAGGCAACCCTATACCACCGTGTTCATAATGAAATAATCTTTATTTTCATTTAAATTTGATTAAATTATCAGACCGGTGCAAAATGCTTTATCAATTTACCTGTTTATACCTGGCAACCCGAGAGTTATGACTGGAAAAGAATAGGCAACCTAACGTTTGCATATTCTATGGGCTTCATACTTTCGATTGGTATGGAGTTTGTTTAATAGTCAAACCGATGAAATATTCAAAAAAAATCTTTTTTGAATGATTACTTAATCATATCCTGGACTGAAATTTATTAGGCAACCCTTAAGCAATATAATTATTGACATGTTAAATTAAATATAAAATATGTTTCATCAAATAAGCATCTCGGTGAAGGTCGTTGTATAGCGGGATCTTAGACTAAGTGGTTTAAAAGTAAACGACGTTTATTTAAAAAAATACTTTTTGGTTTTTGTGAATTTTACTCAATATTTATATTTTTTTGTATGAAAAGGCAAAAAATTTGTTCTAGAAATGAATTCGCCATCCTTTAATTATCCGAAAATGATACCACACTTGCCCTAATACCCATAGTTTTGAAGATATGGGCCTTAAAGTGAAGCGCGGCGGAAGGAAACTTGCCCCCCCTCCCCCTGCTACCACAGGGGGGGCTCCCGATGTCTACCGACGGAAATCCACTCAGGAGCACCCAAAGAACCACTGTTGCAAAAATGAGCCTTCTATACCAAAGTGGAGGGGTTCTTGCACTAAATTCCCTACTATCCGAAGTTGTCCACTAGTCAGTATAAAAACAATTTTATCGAATACAACACAGTCGTGCTAATGTTCAACAACAAATTGTAAACAGAAAATGGAGCTCTGTGGTTGGTTCGTGTGTCATCCTGAGCGTCCACGCGCACTGTGAGACCTCATACATAGTCATAGTAATGTTTGTGAATACGGGCCTAACGCCCGAGGTGAATATTACCAGAGTAAATACAAATGAGTACGTTATCTTCATAGAAACGCACCGGGCGCGGTTTGTATGTGAGCGCGCCAATACGTATGCGGCGCGCACGCACACACTGACAAAATTTAGCGTAGATTAGCGGGGAGTCAGTCGTGGTTGCGCCGAATTTTCTCAGTGTGTGCGTGCGCGCCGCATACGTATATTGGCGCGCTCACATGCAAACCGCGCTCGGTGCGTTTCTATGAAGATAACCTACTCATTTGTATTTACTCTGTTATTACTTACGATAAACATCCAACATCAGGTCATAAACCTCTTGCACGGGCACGCGTCTAACGCCGTTCGCACATTCGGCTATCGTCTCGAGCGGCTTCACCTTGCGTTCGTCCGCGAATCGTTCGCATCGGCGCAATAGTGCGTCCGGGTGAAACGTGACGGACGGGTCTAGGAATAGCTTGCGGAGAGTCTTCTTGTAGCCCACTTCGGCTAACGCTGCTATTAGGGTGAGCTAGAATAGAATACAATACAAAAATAATGTCGGCCGTTTGGTGTAGTGGTTTGGAACGGACTACTATGCCGAGAGGTCCCGGGTTCGATTCCCGGCCGGGCAGAAATTGTAATGATGAATTTTAATTTGTGATGGGTGTTACAATGTATAATATGTATGTATTTACAAAAAAAAAATTAAGTATGTTTATCCGTTGTCTAATACCCATATAGTACAAGCTTTGCTTAGTTTGAGACTTGAAGCGTAGTGTAAAATGTCCAAGGATATTCATTTATTTATAACTAGCTGACCCGGCGAACTTTGTTCCGCCTTAATGGCAATATTTTTTTTTTTCGAACGGGATAAAAAGTATCCTATGTCCTTCTCCTGGCTCTAAACTACCTCCCTGACAATTTTCAGCTAAATCGGTTCAGCCGTTCTTGAGTTATAAGTGGAGTAACTAACACGACTTTCTTTTATATACTTCTATACAGTGTGTCCGGGCATGTAGTGATCAAACTTTAAAGGCGTAACCTATGGACAATTTTATCGGTGAAAATACTTTAAATTTGGGGCTTGACCCATTTCTCGCATATTTACAAGGATTTAAGTTTTTAATTTTAAGTTTTCACCTCTTCCGTCAAAAACAAGTGATAGCGTGGGTAACTTAACATTAATAAGCAAATATTTTATATCATGCGATAGCCAATAAAATTATCTACTAGTAGAAGTAGAAAACAGACACAAGTTTCATACATTTTAAGGGAGTAAGAATGGATTTAATTAGAAATAAACATGATTTTTTTCACATCTTTTTCAGTTATTTCCCAAAATAAGAAAAACCAGGTCGTTAAGGTATGTTTTATTTGCATTTTATTATTAGTATTTGAGCCATTCTACAAAACGAATGTAAATTTATTAGTCTACGTCTATTAGTTTCGACGTAATTGTTGAACAGAGATACCCATTGCAAGCGGTTTCCATAGTAATCGGAAAGGGTTGTGTGATTCTTTCAGGCAGTGCATTTTCGCATGTCGCGTGCGCTATGGAAACCGCTGGGAAGGGGTATCTTTGTTCAACAATTACGTCGAAACTAATAGACGTAGACTAATAAATTTACATTCATTTTGTAGAATAGCTCAAATACTAATAATAAAATGCAAATAAAACATACCTTAACGACCTGGTTTTTCTTGTTTTGGGAAATAACTGAAAAAGATGTGAAAAAAATTATGTTTATTTCTAATTAAATCCATTCTTACACCCTTAAAATGTATGAAACTTGTATCTGTTTTCTACTTCTACTAATAGATAATTTTATTGGCTATCGTATGATATAAAATTTTTGGTTATTAATGTTAAACTACCCACGCTATCACTTGTTTTTGAAGGAAGAGGTGAAAACTTAAAATTAAAAACTTAAATCCTTGTAAATATGCGAGAAATGGGTCAAGCCCCAAATTTAAAGTATTTTCACCGATAAAATTGTCCATATATTACGCCCTTAAAGTTTGATCACTACATGCCCGGACACACTGTATATATAGATGTATACTTCCAAAAAGTTCATACAATGGGCGTAGATTAAAAAAGCCCTTTCGAATGCTTAATTAATTTAGTTTAATTAGTAGTTTAAAGAGATAAAGTCAAGCGATTTTGAGACGTCAACTGGCAAAAATCAAAAACTAACAACCCGACAAAAAATATCTTGGCGCCTTTAAATGATGAGGGCCAACCCCAAAGGAAATGGGAACAGGCACATTAGGCGAAGAAAAACTTGGTCTAACACACTACAGCGTGTTTATAAGTGTAACGCTCAACCAGTGCCTGATGTATGGGAACAGCGCGGTGATTTTGTGACGGGTCAGATTTCATCAGATTTATTTCAGATTCGTATAGATGACTCACGCTGAACTGTTCCACCAAACTCAATGACAGGGGGGCGCTACGATCGTTCAACTATATGGTTTCCAACATGCCAAAAATCGGAACCAGCGATCCGGTATTGACAGTGGCGCCCCCCTGTCAATGTCACGGGTGGGAGAGTTCATTGTATTGGGTCAATCTTCAGGCATTGTTTCAATGTTTCTTACAAATGGCAAAAATCGGTCCGAAAAATTACCTGCACATCACTAGCCCCGTGGACTTTCTTATCAATGTTCAGAACAGTCTGCGCCATTTTGTTGAAGCGTCCGTTTGACTTTTCGTTCACAAGGAACTTCTCTTCCGAGTGCCCTTCGCACATTTTGGCCATTATTTGGGATAGCAGTTCGTGTTTGAGAGGCGTTTTGGAGTATTTGCTCGCTAGACGGACGAATTCGTTCACTGCTTCTTGGAGGTTGTCACTGGAAGAGAAATAATGTGGGAATATGAATTATTTGTCTCATAAGAACAGTAATCGGCAAGACTTGGAGCGAGATATAATGCGAAGCTCAAGATCGAACGTGATTGAGGACTGTTGTGGACGCCCTCTGTCTGCCTCATCTAGAGAACATAAGACATTAATGTGTTACCATAGGGGTCACTTAAAAATTAGGGATTGATGGTGAAAACGGGCATAAGTCAAGTAAGTTAAGTACAGACAGAGAATCAGGTGTCAAAATAAAAGTTTGATGCCCATTGAGTTTTCGATGAGAGAGAACTCGGAAAACTCATGCGTTTCAGCAAATGAAAACGAGACTGCCTTTGTTAAATTCAAATTGTTATATTTTTTAAATGAATAATAATATCGGTATTTATGTTTTACATGCCAGTTCAGTGTCTCATTACTTTTTACTGTGTATTAAATATGCACTTTAATGGGTAATAAAACAGACATAAAATAAATTCCTAAATTCTTTTGGTTGCTAACATGAACTAATAAAATTTAAGTTAGCAACTAATGGAATTTAAAATACAAATGCATATTATATTGAAAATAACATGTTTTTATTGCATTGGAAAGTAAATTATTCTAAAAATATTTGGTCAAACGAATGCAAACCTTTTACGATACGATAACAGTTATCTGTTTATTTTTTACTAGCTTTTCGCCCGCGGCTTCGCCCGCGTGGAATTGTGTCTACCACAGAAAAACTTTAACGCGCGCGTCCCTGTTTCAAAAACCAGGACTCAAACTATCTCTATGCCAAATTTTATCAAAATCAGTTCAATGGTTTAGGCGTGAAAGCAAGACAGACAGACAGACAGAGTTACTTTCGCATTTATAATATTAGTATAGATAGTATAGAAGTAGGTATAGATTCGTATTCATATTGAAGGTCATACATAAAAAAGTCAACATTTTGATATAATTTCCGGAACTAATTTATTCAACAGAAGGCTAAAGTAACATAGTTCAAGTATGTATCAAGTTCATGTGGCTGTAGACCAGCCACATTTGTCGGAGAACGACGAAAAAACAAAAGGTGGAGTTCGGAAAACGGGTCCTCTAAGGAATACCGTCTCGGACAACGAAGCATAATATGCACCTGCTCGATGGACCGACGAACTCAGGACGAAGGAAAGTTAATGGTCAAAGTCAAAGTCAGGGAATATTAAGGCTGGTTTTAGTGTCACGCGGACTGTCAGTGTGGATCGCTCCGCACAGCCGATCTGTATGAACTGCTAGGGAGCGGAGCGGTTCCTCCGACCGACCGCATTACCTACTCTAAAACGCTGCCTAGAAGTTCATACAGATTGGCCGTGCGGAGCGGGTCCGCACCGGACGGTCCGCGTGACACTAAAACCAGCCTAAGGCTGAGTTACACCACCTTATTTTAACCGTAACAATATTGTTATTGTTGCGGTTACGGTTGGTTTGGCATTGGTACGGTTATTTGTATAATAATCGGTGCTTTTTGTATGGTTTTGACAGATATTTGACATTTGTCAAAGTTAAATTAAGGTGGTGCAACTCAGCCTAAGTCTTCGGGGAATATTAAGACCAGCAGTGGACTTTACTGTTGAATAATGATAATGATGATAAAATTTTAAAACAGAAAAACTCACTTTTTCAAATGCACCCGTATCAGCGGTCCTAACAGTACATTTGACGGCTTACAATACCGCAAACTGGTGAGCATATCGAACATTTTGATGGTCTCCAAATGTGTTCCGTGCGCCGCCGTCGCGTCTAACAGCCGCCAGCAATTCATTGCGATGCTGCGTCCGCCGACTATACGCCTGAAAGTTTTTTTTTGTTATTGTATATTAAAAACAAATTCTTTCTATACAGTACAGAAGGATAGTCATGAAGTTTAAGGGTCCCCGCCGACTTTTTGTCGGCCAATAGTTTGGTCGGCAATTTTTTTTGTGGGCCCATAGTTTCGTCGGCTAATTTGTATAGGGAGGATTAAACTATCCGTCAACAAAAAGTCTGTACAAGTAACCAAAAGATGTTGTTGTGAAGGTAATGTCTTGTTATGTCATAAATAAAGTGTTTCAGAGGAATTTCAAAGTTTAGATTTTACAACAGCATTTTTAATATTGGACTTAAATCAATTAACGCAGATTTTAGTAATCAAATTAAAAAATTAAACAATACAAACCTTTTCTTCGACTGTTCATTTATCAGCTCAAATGCTTGTTCAATCTTCTTCCTATAAACCATGAGGGTCGCAAAGTCGATAACCTTGAATTCGTCTAAAGTGAAGTTGGGTGACGTTTTGTTCAGGTCGGCCAGAGCTATCTCCGCTAAGTCTAGCTCGCCCAGCTTCACGTGGAGGTCAAAGATGGCTGCCTTCATGCCCGCTGATAGAAACACCTGGAAAGAAAATTAAGTAGATAATGAAGGGTCTCAAATTACATCAAATTAAGCCAATGGCAGGGATAAAATCTCTCACTTTCTTCATCACCCAATAGTTCCCAATCCCAATCAGTCGTTCGTGGACCATCAGTGGACCACATGAGTCCAATTCCTGATTGAATTATGATATTGGAATTACAATCAAAAGCTATAAGGCCTGGTTTCCACCAAAGCGGAGCGGAGAATTGTCGGGCTGTCAATATTTTCTATAGTATTTGACAGCGGCGGCGACGCGGAACGGAGCTTTGTGGAGCGGAGACGAGAATTGGAAATAGTGAAATCTGATTGGTTATTCAACACACTCCTCTGCTTCGCTCCGATTTGGTGAAAACCGGGCTTTACTGTTCTACCTGCTTTAATTTCTCACTTACCCCTTCCTTCTGGCATTTTTCGGCTATCTTCCTAGCCTCAGCTAAGTTCCCATCCCTGCAGTACTGTTGTAACAACTTCCTTAGCACGCCGCGTGTGTTCATACCCTTAGCTTCCAACTCGTTCAAATGCGCGCGTAAGGACTCTTCGTTCATTTGTTTCTGAAAGAAAGAGAAATGCCCTTAGCCCTTTTTAGCGTAAAAAAATGCGTTGACCTGCATATACACCAGTTCGGAGGGACAGATGGGGCTCTCTGCCAACAGGGCACAGCCTACACCCTAAAAATTTGACATTTGTTATGTCATTTACCTTAAAATAGAAATAAACATATATTACGATAAACATCATATTATTATATTTATGGACAAAGAAGTGAAAAAAATACATAAAGCATTACAAGGAAAGAAAAAGTGAACTGAGCAGTGCCGCCCTGTTGCAACAGCGATACCCATCGCAATGGGACCCCACTCAGCATATTATGCCGTGGCCCACGGTGGGGAAGGCCACGACACTGGTTTTTATCGTAGCGGGATGAGGTAGTAATGAAAAGCAGAGTTGCGAGTGTCTCTGTCCATAGATGCGGAGCTAGGTAGCGGAGCGGAGCGCGAAAGTATGCGGAGCAGAGTTCACTGTGGTTTTTTTTCATACTGGAAGCTAGACTAGGAGCACGTGATGAGTCAGTTGATTCCCCCGCTTCTTTGTTTTATGAATTTTTAAACTAAAGTACGGTCAACGAGAAGCGATACAAAAGGTCGATTCGACATTCAAATTGACAATCTATTCTGTCTCTTCCCATCTTGTGTATAGATGACCCACGCTGAACTGTCCCACCAAACTCAATGACAGGGGGGCGCTACCATCGTTCAACTATATGGTTTCCAACATGGCAAAAATCTAAACAAGCGATCCGGTATTGACGGTGGCGCCCCACTGTCAATGTCATCGACAGGACAGTCCAGTATTTTGGAACTATATTTGTCGTAATGTCTCGTTCTCCCGCCAAAATATGTCAAAGTCAAACCCTTAGGCTGGGTTGCACAATCTTACTTTAACTTTGACAAACGTCAAAAATCTGTCAAATTCCATACAAAAAGCACCGGTTATCGTTATAGTTGCCGTTAAAGATAGGTGGTGCAACCCACCCCTACTATTCCAAATGACCATGACATGTTTGTTTACATTTGGTATCGCTTCTCGTTGGCCGTACTTTAGTTCGCTATTACCTGTCCACTGAAGAGTAGCGAAGATTTTGTGCTATTTTTTGGTGGATTTTTACCTATACACTATGACATATTCAACTTACTGGATGCGGCATCTGCTGCGCGAACAAGTCTCCTTCGTCTACCAGCCTGTCCATCAATCCCTAATATTTAAGTGACCCTTATGGTAACACTTAACAGGAGTTTTGTTTTCATATGGGTCACTTAAAAATTAGGGATCGATGGTGAAAACGGGCATATGTCATTCAACTTACTGGATGCAGCATCTGCTGCGCGAACAAGTCTCCTTCGTCCACCAGCCTGTCTATCAATCCCTAATTTTTAAGTGACCCTTATGGTAACAGTTAACAGGAGTTTTGTTTTCATATGGGTCACTTAAAATTAGGGATCGATGGTGAAAACGGGCATAATATGTCATTAAACTTACTGGATGCGGCATCTGCTGCGCGAACAAGTCTCCCTCGTCCACCAGCCTGTCGTCCGTGACCTCGACGAGGATGTCACGGAACGCCGCGGAAGCGTCGCGACTGTGCTTCTCCGGCAGACGGCTCATGCAGTAGTCTGACCGAGAATGTGACTCCGAAAACTTGGGACTATAGTTTTAGCGCTCAACTCAGTCAGCACCTGAGGTATGGAAGCGGCACGGGAGGGGTGACATTGACATAATATGACCTGACAGAGCATATAGTCCAACGATTTTGAAACTTCAAGTGGCAAAAATCAAAAACTAACAACCCAGCTTTGATAGTAACGCCCTCCCGCAAATATCATAATTATATGGTTGCCCCACGTGGCAATAATCGGAACTAATAATACAGCAATAGTAGCGCCGTCCTGATGATGTCATAGCTGGGATGGTTGAGTGAAGGTCATCTATTCATATCTACGGCATAATCTGAAGTTTCACTGACGTTTGACGTCTCCAAAACACCCTCCAGCGCCCCCTACCTCAAGCACTGACTGAGTAAAGCGCTAAACCTATAGACTATCACCCGTATTCACCATTGATGCTTGCTTAAGCGAAGCAGCAAACGCACAGCGTTGAATAGAGCTCTGTGATTGGTTCATGTGTCACCCTGTGCATCTACGCGCATTGTGAGACCTCATAGTAATGTTTGTGAATAAGGTTTGCGTATATCATTGAACTTACTGGATGCGGCATCTGTTGTGCGAACAAGTCTCCCTCATCTACCAGCCTGTCGTCCGTGACCTCGACGAGGATGTCGCGGAACGCCGCGGAAGCGTCGCGACTGTGCTTCTCCGGCAGACGGCTCATGCAGTAGTCTGATGCTGACGTGGATATCTTCAGTCTTGCCGCTTTTATTGCCTGCGACAAAATAGTTATTTTATTCCGTTTCAAATAACTGAATGCAGTGAGAGACTAAATTGGGCGGTTTAAGTTTTTGGTTTCCAATTCCAAGGTAATAAAGATTTGAATAAAGAAATGAATTGAATAAGGTTTTGCTTGTTTATTTTTCTATCCCATCAGTGCAATGTTACAAAATGTAGTTTTTTTATTTAATAGATAATGGCAGGTTGAACCAACAAGAAGGTTTTAGTTTATCAATCATAATAATCTTCTTGACAAGTTAAATCGTCAAACAACTTTGATCTGAATAATTTTGAACTTTACGGACGAACAGTTAAAGATTATTTTCTCTAACTCGAGATTATTCTGTAACATAGTTTCAAAAGGTAATAATTATGTGCTCGCGATTCGTTGAAGGAATCAATTTGAAAACTGACGAACCTTTTCATTCCGTGACTGTACTTACGGCTTGATGTTTTAAAATCTTATATTATGGATTTGCAATTTTGCATACAAGCCTTTTCATTCCGTGACTGTACTTACGGCTTGATGTTTTAAAATCTTATATTATGGATTTGCAATTTTGCATACAAGCTAACATCTTGAGTATTCTAACTGAGAAGTGCTTTCTGTTTTCTGGTCCGATTTGAAAAATTCTTTTTGTGTTAGATAGGCTTTAGGCTATTATAACATCACCCTACATTCAGTAGGAACAGAGCAGTAAGGAAATATATTTCAATCTATTTTCGCGCGCACGAAGTCGCGGGCACAGCTAGTTGAAATATAAAAGTATACACTAACCTTAGCCAAATCCATAAATTCCGTCAAATCCTCAACGACTTTCTTGTGCTGCATAAAAACACACAAGAACCTGCCCACCCAGTCTTTATTATTGTCTGTAGCCTTCTTCAAGATGTCTTCTAGTATGTACACCGTAGACTTCACGTCTCCACTCATCAGATAACCTCTAAGCAGGGGTTTAAGTAACTTATCGGCGTCTATTTTCCCTTCGAATAGCTCGCCTAAAACAGTGTACATAAGTATCATATTGCAATGTAGGCAATGATTTTAAAAATTGCTTTGTAAGCGCTGAAAAACAAATGCTTCGCAACAAACTCAGTAAGTTAGTAGATTATTATATCGCTTAGAATAATCGTTTACGTACCGAAAAGGGCTTATTCCCATCCAGTCACACCCTTACTCGTTAACCTATATTTTCTTACTGTATTTTGTACATATTTTTTTTATTATGAAAGCTCTTATATCCTAATATTAAGGGTACTTTATGTGTTATCAGTACGAGTGTGACTCGATGGGAATTTTTTTCCCAACGAGCAACAGGCGAAGAAAATCGGCAACCTGGAGCGAGATCAAACGCGAAGCTCAAGACCGATCGCGATGGAGGACTGTTGTGGACGCCCTCTGTCCCATCTAAGGGACATTGGACCTTAAGTCAAGTCAATAGTAACAGGACTAACAGGGTTACCCGTTTGAGCGTGACTCGTTGGGGAATAAGCGCCGAACAGGGGTCAGAGATCGCATGTTTGATCTCCCACACAATACATAGATTCGTGTCTGTTTTAATGACTGCTGATGGCGCTGTGTAAATGTCAAAAAATACCTATTTAACTATACAAAATTAAACCAATACCCACATATCTCACTAGCCGCTCTCACTTGCCCAGTCTTTAGTAATGTGTCCATCATTGGAGTGAGTACCGTGCTCACAGTGAGTCCAGTGTCGAGGAATTTCTTCATCAGGTTCTGGGGTGACGTAAAACTGACGTACGGTAACGTATACTCCATTATCGTCTCGTAGTCTGGCTTGACGTCCATGGTCACCATTGTTTTTAGGGTGTTCATTATACCTGTGAATGGTGGGACAGTGTTATGGCATTGTAGTATGTTACGCTGATGGTTTTTTTTAAATAAATAAATAGTGTCTTTTTCTTGTAATGAAATACGATCATATTGATCATGAGACTAAAAAAACACAAGTTCAATTTTATAGGGAGAACTTCCGAAAATATAAAGGGGTCGTAATAAGCCCGATTTTCTGACAATTATTGGTTTTACAGCCATGCCTTGTTCCTAGCAAGGTTGTGTTTTCTAAATTTTCTTACTTAAGACTTGACTAACCAAAAACAACCTTATTGAGTTGTAACAAGCCTTTAATCGGGCTGGTTAAATTCTTTTGGCAGTCCACTAATAACGTAAGCTGTCCCTAAGAATACACGAAAGCACGATCTCCCTGTCTTATCTGTTATATGCCATGCCATAATGGATGAGAAATCTCTTGGCCTTGCATCTCCCCATCTTTTGATGGTATCCCACGCTATTTAATATTCTTATGCCCGTTTTCACCATCAATCCCTAATTTTTATATGACCCCAATGGTAACACATAACAGGAATTTTGTTTTCATAGTGGTCACTTAAAAATTAGGGATTGATGGTGAAAACGGTCATAAACCTACCTTTCTCGCCATAGCTCCTCGAGCTATGCAGCAGTATTGGCCAGAAGTAGTGCGGTCTGATCGGCAGGCCGAGCTGTTGCATGCGCGTGAACATGTCTAAAGCCAGCGGCACTTTGCCCAACTGTAGGGCTGCTTCGGACGCGTTGTGGAGCGCTATGGGGTTCCGGCCGGACGACATTAGTTCTTGGGTTACGAGCGCTATGACGCTTGAAGGCTGAAAAAGTATAGTTCCAAAATACTGAACTGTCCTATCCATGACATTGACAGTGGGGCGCCACCGTCAATACTGGATCGCTGGTTCCGATTTTTGCCATGTTGGAAACCATATAGTTGAACGATGGTAGCGCCCCCCTGTCATTGAGTTTGGCGGGACAGTTCAGCGTGAGTCATCTATAAGGTGTGTGAGATATGTCATATTAATGAGAGCCTTAGGAGGGTTTATACCAATACTAGCTTTTGCCCGCGGCTTCACTCGCGGAAAATTTAGTTTATCACAGATCGACATAAAAGCTTATATGTTATTCTGGGTTATAAACAATAATATTGTAAAGTTTCATCAAAATCCGTTCAGTAGTTTTTGCGTGAAAGAGTAACAAACATCCAGACATCCACACACACTTTCGCATTTATAATATTAGTAGGATTGTAAATGCGAAAGGAACTCTGTTCATTCATTGCTTTTTATGTCTTAGGCTCGATTTCCACCAATGCGGCGCGAAGCGGAGAATCGTTTTGAATAATCAATCGGATATCCTGGATTTCTGAATAATGAAATAATGATTGGTTATTCAATTAGATTTGAATTCGATCTTGGCGAAGGATGAAGCTGTCGCCAAAAAAATTTTCAATATGGGATGTAAGCTAGTAGGTATACTGAATAATTACTACTCATTTTGGCTATGTGAAAATTTATAATGCTTTTGGTAATGGTTTTCTTGCCACAGTCTTCTAAACGTCTTTTTTCAATGTATCTCTGCTTAAAAACCTTTCTTCTAACATTAATAGCATGAACTGGTAGGTACTTAATAGTGTTGTGGTGAGTACAATGCCACATCACTAATGTCGTGTCACCTCACTAGCGGATACGGAAGAAAAGCCCTCTCTGCTGTCATGGAGGCGGGCCGGTGTGGTTGTGTATTATTGTAGAAAACGCAAACGCTAAATACAGTTTAATGCTGAAGAATTACTTCTTTCCTTGAACTCCCATATTCCACAATTAATAGATGAGTGTTTTCAATGCAAATTCAATCAATTATAGTTTACCATGGCAGCTTTAACGCAGTCCCTAACCAAACTTCTTCCATGTAAACCTTGGTCATCCTTCGGCCCAAACGAAGGCAGCGGCAGACACTTGTATATCTCCAGTGCAGCTAACGGGTGGTTTTGGAACACCAGCAATGTGCAAACACTTTGCATGTACGGAGAAATGGAAGGCGTCTTCAAGATCTCGTCAGGTAAGAATTGCAGAACCTGAAAATGAAAAAAGTCAAAGTCAGTTTTTTACTTATACTACAGAATAATAATAAGTACTACGTACAGAAGTTTTACTACGCGAAGGTATTTAAAAAAAATAAAACCGACTCCAAAAAACCTACATTAAAAAGTAGAAAAATAATTACTAATAACCTACTTATTTATTAGGACGAATTAATATTTATGTAGGTATACCATGATTGATACTTCTGGAGTCGGTGCCAAGATTATGAAACATGTAAAGTTTGCCTGCACGCAGTAATTATTTTTCTACTTTTT